GCCGAGGCCGCGGTAGCTTACTGCGCTTGCCACGTAACCCCGGTTCAACATCAGCCCTATAGGGCCCCGTCTGTGGTATTTTTTTGTGAGGGGAAAATCATCTAATGACTTCTCCCGCCCAGGGCCGGGCGGGAGGGAGTGTCAGACTTTTACTGACTAAAAAAACCCTCCTGTTCCTTCTCCTGCTCTGGGCCGAGGTTGCGGTACCTTATTGCGCTTACCCCGCAACCCCGGCTGAACATCAGTCCTATAGGGCCCCGTCTGTGGTGGTCTGTTGACTTGGCCCCGAGCACCTGTGGATTGGTTTCTTTACTGTTATCGATAGACTACGTTTTATTTATATTTAAATGGTCTATAATACACAAATCAAGTTTTTTTTTTTAATACTTAAATCACTTAAACCAGTCTAGTGGGGCACCTTCAGCAGCCATAAGTGTGGGAGAGCCATACATCGTCGTAGTGTTTTGTCGTGTGAGTGAGGTTATGGGGCCCAGATATTTCTCCTTACCTCCTCCATCCTCCATTCTCAATTCACAAAAGGCTAGCAAAGCACTTTCAGTAAATAATTTAGTATTACGAGTTCACGCTTACGCTGATTGCTTACCATCAGGTAATCTTATCAAAAAACCAGGTCCTCCTATAAATTTTCTTCGGCGCCCTCAGCGCCTGTTATGGTCCTACTAAACATTCTTAGGGAGATCTTAGTTTCGCTAAAGCCCCGCTGCCCATAGCGGCACGTGCCCACTGGCCCACCCTGGTGTTTAAGATCACCAGGCCACTGAAATGTGCACCAAACCCTAATCTAAAAATTAACTGAAAATCGTGGGTTACTCACGTGTTACATAATGCCGAGAAAAACTCGACTAGTTTTTTATAATTTAGTATGTCTCACGATAGTTATTATAAAAACATAATCTAAAAATTATGATTTTATTTGTTTTACTAGGGTAAATAGATTGTCAATGAGAAACGAAAGAAATACGAGCAGATACAGAAACACCATAAATCTCTCCAATCATAACATTTCACATAATGAAACTGTTCTTATCTGATATTTCACACAAACAGAGATAACTTCGACGTTTAAGTTATTTATTTATCTTTCATTTCGATCGTAAAGAGATGATAAATTATTATGAAAGAGAAATACTGTTATATATTTTTGAGGGAGAGCCATGCTTCGGTACGAATGGGTCGGTCAGCTAGTCGTGATACCACGGGGTTACAGAAAACCGGCGTAAAACAACCACAGCACGTCGATTCTATAAAATTTGTTTGATTTTGAATCTTGTTCGAGTGCGAAGTGAGTGTCGAAGTGACGGGGTAATTAAATTTTAGAATGCCACTTTTAACGTCATCTCATACTTTATCTATCAAAATGTTTCTGTCAATTTAGTTCAACTCGCAAGTGTAGCGCTATTGTACTACTTCTCACGGCGGATTCAGATTCGAAGTTTAGAATGAAGTCTTACAGAATCACACCCCAGTATTGTGTTTCGCTATGTGAAAGGTTACCTACTCAGAGTCCTAATACTTCCCCTCACCAATAAGGAAGCGTCTGACATTCCCTCTCGACCCGTGCCCGAAAGAAGCGTTTCTATAACTAGTGTACTACTGATTTATAACTAGTGTACTTCAAGCTATTTTTAGAGAAAAAGTTGTTTTAATTTGTTAAATTTATTCTCTAAATTAACAAATTACTATGTTTTAATTTGTTAATTTATTCTCTAAATTAACAAATTAAAACAACTTTTTATAAAACTAAAGGCATTTTACTAAAACCTATAGATATTTTTGGACTAAGAGGGCAAAATCATACTTTGCTTGAGGACTTAACATTGATAGCCAAGGACGTGTCAACAAAATTCCAGTAATATGCTTGTAAGATTCCACCATATAAACAGACATACATACAATGCAAATTAAATAAAAGATTGGCTTTGTGCTTAAAAACAAAACAAGCTGTAGAAAAAACAGAATAAGTATCATATCTGCCTGTCCACCAAACATCACAACAGACTTAAATATCATTCACATTGTTCTTAAAAAAACTACATAACTTCTCGGACATTAGCCGTATCGTGTTTAACTGATGTTAGGATCATAATAAGCCCATAACTGTCTTGTTCACAAGATAAGTATATCAGAGATACTTAACAACGTATCACAATTTATGAAGCTATAAAACTGATTTCAGTAACTCATTAGCACTTCATTATTTGTAAAAGTTTTTACATTCGCAAATGTCGTCGTGGCCCGGGGATTTTTTTTTTGTTAGGGGAAAATCATCTAGTCGCTTCTCCCGACCAGGGAGAGACGAGAGAGTGTTAGACTCTTACTGACTAAAAACCCCTCGTTCCTTCTCCTGCTCTAGGCCGAGGCCGCGGTGCCTCATTGCGCTTACCCCGCCACCCTGGCTAAACATCAGCCCTGTAGGGTCCGTCTGTGGTGGGCCCGATGAATTTCAAAACGAGTGAGAACGGTTTTGAAATTTGACAAGTACTAATGTGACTTTTTTGGAGTAATAAGTACTTTCTAAGTTTATTTAGACATCACTGACAATAGTTGAAGGAAAAACATCGCAAGGAAACTTGGACTTTGAATTTATAATTTATTAATTTTTTTTAATATCGCTTGACGTGATGTAAATTGCTTATTGTAGCTATACCCAGAATATTGGTGCTTAAAAAGTTCTTGCAAAACTGATGCGGACCTTTTCGATCATAACATAGCTTCCCACTAACTAGTCAAGGTTAAAACTTTTTCAATAATGTCAAAGAAAACAATGAACTCGTAAAAAAAATATCGCATATTCTACTAATACCACAGCGTTATGTTTCATCGTGTGATTGAGGATAGCGGAGGCCAAAAGCATTTCCCCATCCCTACCCAATCCCTGAAAAAAACAAATTTAACCGCTAAAGGATTGGCAACGCTGTCATAACTCCTCTGGTAGACGGCATCGATAGCTTAACATCAAGCAATCCCGTAAGAAAAGATAGATATACCTAAGATATTATTATATAGGGCTCTAGGTACTACATACATACAAACATACATATAGAATGTCGGTGGCAGTGAATGTGGGCTGGAAACTGTCGCACCTGCGCCTAGGGACTATCTAGTAAAAGCATTTTACTATACTACAAGTCATAAGAATAAAGCGGATTAGTTCAATACAAGCCCTTTTTTGGGAAACATTTCCCGAAGCGCCTAGCTTTTGAGAAATCTAGTTATAGAAATATAGTCGTGGCCCGGAAGTTAAGGCGCTCGCTTCTCATGCATAAGGATGTGGGTTCGAAACCTGTCAAGTACCAATGTGACTTTTTCCGAGTTATATGTACTTTTTAAACTCATTATGACATGACCACAGACATACGGTGAAGGTTAACATTGTGAGGAAACCTGTACTAATAATTTCTAATTTTAAGTTTGAAATCGCCAATCCGCCTTGTGCAAGCGTGGTGATTCATGCTCAAACCTCCTCCGTGTTATAGGAGGCCTTCGCTCAGCAGTGGGCATTTATAGGCTGATGGTGTGAAATATTAATAAAAAAAAAACTAAAGTATTCTAGAGACGAAAATAATCTTTCTTTAAAGAAATATATTTATTTACTTTATTTTACTTTATTTAATATATTTAATATACTTTATATTACTTTATTTAATATATTTATTATATACTTTATATCTATACTAATATTATAAAGAGGTAAAATTTGTAAGTTTGTATGTAGGGGGTAATCTTTGGAACCGCTGGTCGGATTGCCAAAATTATTTCACTGATAGATAGCTACAATGTTCCTGAGTGCTATAGGCTATAAAACATCACGCTACGATCAAATGGAGATGAGCAGCGGGTGAAATATTATCTTGGGTCTTGGGTCTAGGGTCTTGTATAATCTGGAGGCTGCATGACTGCTTATCTCTTACACCATCTTAGCATTGGAAAGTCACATTGTCTGTGTACACAGTACTGTAGTAGCGCTGTACCTATACTTGAAATTCATGTTTACCTATACGTAACTTCACATCTGTTCTTTATAATGGGGACAATTGACAGAAAATATAGATTCAAACTATCCAAACTAATATTATAAATGCGAAAGTTACTCTGTCTGTCGTCTTTTCTTCATGCCGAAACTACTGAACCTATTTGAATGAAATTTGGTATAGATATAGTTTGGAACTTGAGAAAGGACATAGGATAGTTTTGTAACGAAAAATCTTCAGGAAGTCACTTTTTCACGCGAACGGAGTCGCAAGCAAAAGCTAGTGTAACATAATTTTTAATTATAAAATATCATTATTTTATTTTATTTGGGTTTACATTTTACCATGATAAATACTGTTGTCCTATGTTAATTTGATTAGTTCTAGATATAATTTCTATATATTTTGTCTGTACAAACGCGTAATTTTAAGTAAGTATGTTGGTTAGCCCGTAACTGGCTAATGTATAAAAAGACCTACTGCCTATAACGAATACTTCTAACTACTTTGTATACATAAGCTCTGTGAGCCTAACTTATCACAAATAATGCTGCCGCTAGCTATAATTTTTCCTACTTTGTATACATACGCTGTGAGCCTACCTTATCATAAATAAATGATGCCGCTGGCTAGCATTTTTCCTGTATCGTAGGATTTTTATGAGGGAAAAAATCATCAAATATATCTCTGAAGAAATAGAAGGAAGGACTTTTATAATATTAATGACTAAATACATCCTCATTTTTTCCAAAAACTCCGGTTTTCTGTAGGTTCACGATCTTAGCAGTGAAACTACAGAAAACCAACCTTAAACAACGCTTGTATTCCGCTTCGCCTTGTGTCAGGTTAGAGAGGGCGGACGGTGCGCGTTATTCCAGTAATAATTTTAGAATTTCAATAAAAGTTGACTATTTTATAGGTCTAAATGTAAAAGTTCAATAATTTAGATTACTTTTTATTGATTCGATTTAGGATTCGGTTCTTTTTTTGGTGAGGGCAAATCATCAAATGACCTCTCCCAGCAGGGTGAGGCGGGCGGGAAAGTCAGATTCTTACTGACAAAAAATTCCCCTGTTCCTTCTATTGCTCTGGGCCGAGGCCGCGGTGCCTCGTTGCGCTTACCACACAACCTCGGCTGAACATCAGCCTTATAGGGCCCCGTCTGTGGTGGTCAATTGGCTCTTTGAGGCTCGCGCGGAACACTACGCGCCGTCCGCTCGGGTCTGGTTCTGATCGGGCGGCGAGCTACCCGTACTCGCCGTCCGCAGACCCGCGCTTTTACGGTGGCCGGAGACCGTCTGTCGAGAGTATTTAGCTTGGCAGTAAATCTGTTGATCACTCGGTAAAAAAATATTTTCTCATTCTCATTTGATGTTTAAACCATAAAAATGTTCTTAATTTACCGCGTCGCGTATTTACAGTAAATTCGATTAGATATACATTTTATTTCTTATGTTATATAAGTGACATTTTGTGGAATTGTAGTTGTAATAATATGCGTTTTCTTTTATTTGTTTAAAGGTATGTTTCCTTAAACACTTTGGCATAACAATTTACTAGCATTTATTTTTTGATAATCTTATTTTGCATTATATATTTACATCATAATTGCGATAAGAGAAATAATGCGTAAAAATATTACTTAAGTAACAATTTAATTAGGAAAAACAAAATTACGGTAAAATGTAAAGTGAGGTTTTAAAATTTAATGCAAATGGTTACTTTAATTGCCAATGAATGCTTTTATTATAAATAATTCCAAAAAATATTTTAACAATTTAACGCAATTAATCATTTCTTAAAAGAAAATCACATCTTCACGAATTTATTATATGTCATAAATTTATAAGAAATTGGCACACAAAATACTATTATGACGTCACGACTCGAAATATTGTAGGTATAGAATACATGGAATAATCGATTTTGCCTTTTCGAAATAAGTATTTTTTTGTGATTGACAGTATATGAATGAATTCAATCAATTAGCTAAAGTCGATTAGGGAATGATTATAATGATTATCAAGCAACCATATGTATATTGATATAAATATTTTTATCTTTTCAGTTTCCAAGAGAAGACAAGTACAACTCTAAATATTTGATACGGACAACATCGAGCAATATGGTAAGATTTTTTTTATATTAATTCAATTGACTGTAGGTACAGTTGGCGCGGTGGCAGGGCCACTGGCTGCCGCGCAGTATGTCGCGGGCTCGATCCCGCACGGAACAACTCTTTGTGTGATCCACAAATTGTTGTTCCGGGTCTGGGTGTGATATGTATGTGAAATTGTATGTTTGTAAACGCACCCCACGATACATGAGCAAAGCCTAGAATGGGGCAATGTTTTAGAAAAAAATAATTAAAACCTTATTCATCAAAATTCTGTCAAGTATTTATGAGAATATATTATTATAAGGACAGACAGTAGGAAGCGACTTTATAGTGGTCTTTGGTGACATGCGAAAATGTAAGATTTTCTGTATTTATATTACAACGGGAAATAAATATGTTTTTGATTTCCTCAAATGTCTATGGTGTGATGTTATGTTATGTTGCCCTACATATAGTACTAGCTACTCTCGCGCGGTTTCACTCGCTGCTCAGCTCCATTTAATCGTAGCGTGATGATTTATAGCCTATAGCACTCAAGAACATTGTAGCTATCTATCAGTGAAAGAATTTTGGCAATCCGACCAGCGGTTCCAAAGATACAATCCCCACATACAAACCCTACATACAATCTTACAAATATACAAACTCTTTATAATCTATAATATAAAAATGAATCGCAAAATATGTTGGTAAGCGCATAACTCAAAAACGCCTGGACCAATTTTGCCAAATCCTTTTGTTTTGTATTTATTATTGTCAGGAGAAGGTTCTTATCAAAGAAAATATTATAAAAGTAGAGGGGAATATTGGGGAAAAGGAACCCTTTGCGACCTGGACCTACGCGAAGCGGGGGTGGGCCGCTAGTATTAGTATAGATATATTGATGCACATCACACTCAGACCCAAAACAACAATTTGTTAATCACACAAAGAATTGCTCTGTACGGGAGTGGAACCGGGGACACGTTGCACGGCAGCCAACTGCCCGGCCACAGCGCCAACTCTGCAGCTAAACAGACATCACATCTAGTCAATAAGATAAGAAATGCGGAAATCATGCGGAAGTTTATTTCTTGCCGTTGTTATAAAGACAGTCATATGCAATCATTCGGAGAGGAAATGTTATAAACAATAGAATTGGTTTGATGTGAAGAAGTAAAGTCGTGTAAAGTTTATATATTTACGTGGTAGAGGCTTAATGACCACTTGAGAGACGCGCGAAACTCGCATACTCCTTTCTCAAAAGGCCGAGTGTTACTGATCAAAATGCACACGGAATGCAAATCAAATTTAAATCGTTTTAGTAGTTTGGGAGTCCATCGCGGACAAACACGTGACACGAAATTTTTAAAATAATCTAGAAAAACAATGTTAAAATGCGTTATTATCACACTTGTAAAATTTGTTGCGGTAAGAAAATATTCAAACAAACAAGCAAAAGTATTTATTAGCGTCTGGGACGCATAAAAGACACAAAACTAACAAGACAAAAAAAAAATAAAGTTAAAAATAAAAATACATAAAACATGGTAAAACAAAGTAGAGGGTAGGAGAAAAATATGCCTCCAAGCACGCGAAATGGCCCTCGCTCAGCATTAGGTATGCAGCGACCCCATAAGAGACAGTGTCACGGCGCTGATTTTCAGCAATGGCCGACACTAACGCATGACGCCAAAAACTACGCTGAAAACTAGAATTAAATGGTTTCTCTCACCTTGGATGGGGCGGATAAGGGTGTCATCGACAAAAAACCACCTCTTTTCCTCTCCTACTCTAAGCCGCGGTACTTGTAACTTATAACTTACATCGCCGGAGAGAGCATGAAGACCTGTTATCTTAGTTATAAATGAACTAGCTCTTACCCGCGGCGTCGCTTCCGTCATTTGACTACCTACCCTACTCTACCTACCCTACTTTACACTACCTACTCTATCCTATATCCTTTTCCCAGTTCTTAGCTACCTCCCTACGAATTTTCAGCCAAATCGGTTCAGCCGTTCTTGCGTTATAAATAGTGTAACTAACACGACTTTCTTTTATATATTAATATATACATAGATATAGATATAGATTATTTTAAAATTACGCCACTGACAATTTTATTTTGTAATCGTCGACGATTATTAATGTTTGGCTTACGAGAAAAACAATAAATAATACTTATATAATTCTTCTTTTTCAGTGGGTCCGGTTGTGGTTGGCCTTCTGTATCTGCGCTGTTTCAGTATGGTCACAACACGCCAACACGGTAAGTGGATATTATATTATTTCTTTTATTTATAAATTAATTATTTCTTTAAGTGTGGGAGAGCCATGTTTTGACATGAATGGGTCGGCTCGACTGGAGTGATACCACGGCCTCAGAGAAAACCGGCGTGAAACAACCACAGCGTTGTGTTTCGCTGTGTGAGTGAGGCTACCGGAGGCCCAATCCTTCCCCTCCCCCAATACCTCCTCAATCCCTAAATCCCTAATCCCTAAAAGGTTGGCAACGCACTCGTAACTCCTCCGTTGCGGGGTGTGCATGGGCGGCGCTGATTGCTTACCATCAGGTCATCCGTCGGCTCGTTTGCCGATCTATTACATAAAAAAATCTTCACCCAAAACCCCGAAATTGTTGGTAAGCGGTGCTTCACGCCGGTTTTTTATAGGGCTGTGGTATCCACTCTAATCCAGCACATATACATGCCAGAGCCTAGCTCTCACTAATTTTTACTGTACAATTTTTAAATGAAATCAAATTAAAAATATTTAATTGCTAAAATACGGCATAAAAGGTGTTACGGTTAAGGTTTTTTTTTCAGCGTATCCCGCCATGTATGACCTGCAAATAATTAAAGTGCAATAATTATTAAAGTTAGTCATCAAAATTCTACCGACTTATCTTCTAAATAGCCCTTAACACTAGGTATAGTAAATCTTTGATAGTAATTAAAAGTTTAATAAAAAAAAATTTTACAAAATAAAAAAACCGCCTTCAAAAAAAGTCAAGCAATAAAAGTTCCTACACTAAAAAGTAAAAAATAACAATTTGAATTACTGTAAAAAAACTTAATTTATAGGTAAACTTATTTGACATTAATATTTTGCAAATATTCAAAATTTATTACTTATTTTTGGAGTCGGTGCCAGCATTTTGATGTTGAAACTTAATGTTAGTTAGGTTTTTAATATCCGGTGCCATTTTTCGTACATAATGCTTAAACATTTTCAATGTACTTAAAATGTTTTTGTAAGTACATATTTTTTATTTAAAAAAATGTGCAAATCGGACATTTTTTGTAGAGAAGTCTAATCTGTATTTATGTCTTAATTAATATACCTATATTTGAGTATGCAAATAGGTATTAAGTAGTTTTATAATTAAGTAAGAGGTAGTTTTTCAAGGGATTGTTGCCCATTTGTATTTCCTTGCATGGGCTGGCACCGACTCCAAAAATAAGTAATAAATTTTGAATATTTGCAAAATATTAATGTCAAATAAGTTTACCTATAAATTAAGTTTTTTTACAGTAATTCAAATTGTTATTTTTTACTTTTTAGTGTAGGAACTTTTATTGCTTGACTTTTTTTGAAGGCGGTTTTTTTATTTTGTAAAATTTTTTTTTATTTGTAGCCGTTTAGTGTTTTTTTTTATTATAATGTGTTATGGCAAAGAAGTCAATATCGTTCCTACATTTCTTTTGAAAAAGTTACCAATGTCATACTTATACGTAGAAATACATATCATAGTACATTGTTACTGTGTAATCGTTTTGATCTCGAGGAGAGATGATATGATGCATGAGATACTTATGACTTATAGTTAAAATAAAATAATAATCTTATCATAAATTCATATTAGTTCTCGCCAAATAACAAAAAACTAGATATTTTCATCAACAGACAGATAAAGTTCAAAGATACCAAATGCAATCTAATTTAGTATCTATGATTAAATACATTCGTACATAGAAAAAAGACCGATGCAATTATTGTTTTGTATCAATTGTAACCCATTAAATGAAGAATACTATTTTGTTATTACTAAGAACATTCATATATAGACAAGTTGGTAAAAATATAAAAGACCATCGCTATTGTAAATATACATTTATGACTCATTCAATGTATGAACCTTTTTTAAGTAAGTATTATCTACATATGTGCACACAAAAGAAACACAATTATTGTTTTGTACGACGCAATTATTGTTTTGTAACCCATTTAAAACGACTGTTTTGTTAAAAATGCCAATTAATTCTCTTAGCCTATTACCAGGAAAACGATAAGAACACAATGACGCATTTCACCACTAATGTGTAAACGCAGTCCACGTGGACTAATGCAAAATAGCCAATACTAGGCCAAACTCCGCCCCCAAAGGTGTGCGGTCCCGCTCTAGAACCTTTCGGCCCCATCGGCCATCTGTTCTACGAGCAATGTGCCGTGCCCACTGTCACTTAAGTTTGGCATTTCTTCGGGCTATGTCGGTGACGCTGGTTCTTCTGCGGATTTCTTCATTTCTGATTCGAACATGCACGGAAACTATGAGCATAGCCCTTTCCATTGCTCTTGACAGCTCTAATAAGCTTACACAATACTAGGCCCCATGCCAACCTTCCAGCTTCATCATCACATCAGTTCAATAGTACCTTACAGCCAAAGTGCATCTTATAACAATTCTAACAAGCCCAAACACGGCTAGGATATATTAATTAGGTACGCAGTTCCAGTGCCTACCTTCCAGCTCCATAATCATCATTAAATCAGTTCGATGATAACATTTCCAACATAATTATTTAAGATCATTGGTTTACAGTGCATTTTCATAGTTGCTGAACTACCTTGATTGTGATATCTATGCGAGTGTCAAGTTTCATCATCCATTTCTGATCTTCTTCACCAGTTCCACCTCATCAAACATTACTTTTTGACTGTAAATGCTTGAGTACTCTATGAAAATATTAAAATTACTATATAGTTGCCTATAATATTTGAGGAGTTCCCTCGATTTCTCATGGATCCCATCATCAAAACTTGATTTTGAAAAGAATGGGACCAATCTGGAAGCATATCCTTTCAATCATAAAAAAAATTTTGCAAATCCGTCCATAAACGACGGAGTTCTGAGGTAACAAACATAAAAAAAAAATAAAAAAAAAAAAAAATACAATCGAATTGAGAACCTCCTCCTTTTTTTGAAGTCGGTTAAAAAGCATTTTCTTAAATAATGTCAAGGATAAATCTTGTAAACTATTTGGTTATTTGTTATAAATAATTATGGACATAGGTACAATATACATTTTTCAATATACATTTCATCAATAATAGCACGAGTTTAATGTTCTATACATCGGGTAATTATTGCGCGGAACTCAATGCAACAAGTTTGAATGGATAAAGAATCTAATATTTAATATTGCGGAGTTGATTCCATCTTTCTTTTACGTTGTTTTTTACAACTTGTTTTCTGTATTGTCTTCACATGTTAGTACAATAAACGTATTGGTGAGCTTGAAAAACATATCTCATATCCATAAACGATCAATTTTTGTATATAAATATACAATCTGAATCTCGAAAACGGTTGTAACTATTTTCATACAATGGGTTTTCGGGGGCGATAAATAGATAAAGATAAGAGTGATTTTCAGATAACGCAAAATAAATAAATAAACGTATCACTGCTTATTTAGTTACTACTTATTTTTAAAAGATTAACGGTAGCGTTTTGAATCGACACTTAGGTTCCTACTTAGCTTCACTGACGAACAGAATGACGAACTGTTATTCTATTTTGACGTTTCAAAAGTAGGTAGGTACTGTATATGGTTAATTTGGAATGATGTTGTTATCTTTGACTTTAAATGCTATCTTCGAAAATGTTTAAATATCTATAGAAAAACTATTTTAGAAGCATTTAATCCAACCCGACAATTCGGGAGTTTCCAACTACTTAGTCAAATTCAATACTTTTATACAAATGTCAAAAACGATACTTTCTATGTAACTTCAAATTATGACGTCATAGTATTTCTACGCCAATAGCTTACTGTATCGATGGTGCATCGACAGATCGATGAATAAACGTAGGTACCTATAGCAATTATTTTTTAATAATTTTATTGTATTTAAACGTTGAATTAATTTATTTTTGACCTAAGAAACTCGACTATCTTAGCTGAACACTCAGCAACCATGCTAGTAATCTCAACGAACGCAGTCTCTTACAAAACCAGTAACATTATATAACATTCAGGAATGAAGGAATGAATGAAAACATGTTCCATTCATTCATTGTTCGAAAATGAACTAAAGTGACTTTCATTTTGTAAGGAATGTCTGAATGTCTTCCTGGGAGAAAGTCTAGACTCTGTCGTGAGTACTTATAGGTTTGGATATTTACGCCTAGGTATTGTATTATAGGACTTAGGTCTCGTAGCTTTTGGTTGATATTATAAGATAAGTTGTAGGGACTTCCTACTCTTTGATTGTTTGAGATATTTTTGTGTATAGAGTTTTGAAGACAAAGGTATAGGTAATGCAAATATAATGCTGGTCCAAAAGAGATGAACTTTTCTTCGACTCCTCAATCAAATAAAATGAAATTAATTAGTATATTACTCTAACATGCTGAGTTTCAAATATGAGCATAATTAAATCCAATCAAAATTAAATTCTTTAACCTTAATAAAGGAAAACATCCTCAAAAAACTGAACTTTTAATTTTTAATCATAAGTTTGGAATCGCCAATCTGTTTTGATGCTAGCGATGGTATTAGGTAATACTCAAGCCTTCTTTGCGTGAAGAGGTCTTTGCTCAGGAGTGGCACTTATAGGATGGTGATGATGAGACATATCTGCGTCACTATTTGACGAGTAAACTAGCAGTAACTCGACTAGTTGCAAGCTACGCCGGGGTTCACAGTAATAAGCCGTACTTCGGCACGAATGGGCTGGCTCGACCTGAGTGATGACGGCCTCACAGAAAACAACATTTACGTCATGTTCCGAGGCCCAATCCTTCCCCCTCCCCCCTTATCCTCAATCTTCAAATCCCCTGTACTTAAATCCCTAATGACGTACAAAAGGTCGGCAACGCACTCATAGTAACTCCTTTGGTATTGCGAGTGTCCATGGGCGGCGCTGATTGCTTACCATCAGGTAAACCGACTGATCGTTTGCAGACCTATGATATAAAAAAAATAGCGCGAGTGTTTGTCGCGTATACTGCCTAAAACATCATCATTACATCTTTATTAAGAT